ATCCAGAAAATCGAGTCTTGGAAATGCAACCAGACAAGGGTTTGAAGCTACATGAAACATCCTTTGATCTTAGAGATAAGGATGGAAGATTCGATCGGGGCGGGTGGGATTCAATTTTGATTCCGGATGAGGTACAGGAATGGGAGATCCCTTCTCCCCACCTCCGAATTGAAGATCACCACCTGTTGCGTCCATCGCCACTACAGGTCCCTTCTTCCAATTAATTTTCAGTCGCAATGGTCTCGATTTGTTAATTCGACCACATATGCATATCCCCTCTGCTTGTAGTTTTAATTGACGCTTTTCCGGGTCAAAACTAGAAATCAGAACGACCCTGTTAATTTGGCCAGGTCGGCATATCCCCTCTTCAATCGTCAATTCAAATCAGTTCAGCTGTGTCTTCTTCCCGCCAGTGGCCTCTGCATTAATGTTCCACTAGCTCTGTAAGTCCTCTACTGGAATTAGTTATCCAATTCCTCTTCGTTCAAGGGTCTAATGTTTGATTGAATTTTGTTCGTGATGTGGGGGTTTGCCTGCGATATCTATCTTCCAAAGTTGGATACAACGCATGTCACTAGTGAGATGCTCTTAAATTTTGTTGCTTTTCATTCTTATTGAGGCTCTATATATCGATCCTTTCTTTACCTTTGAACTCTGTCTGTCTCACAAGGTGTAATGTCATGGAGGTCGAGTCTTTTGAGGATGGGTTAGTTTCCAAATTGCTGAACGACAAGTTTGCCAGCATCAAGGGGCAAACGCCCATACTCACTTCTGTTTATGTTGCCAAATGAAGCATTGTTTGTGAATGCCTGGTTAATTGATTTCATTTACGGCGTGGATCTGTAGGAACGACTTGATCTAGATAAGGTGAGTCCTCTTGTTTGTGAATGGTTGGTTGCTGGGAAGGTTCTTCTTTCCTCGATTTCCTTTTCATGGACGATGCATAAAAAAGGCTTGAAGGTCTCGATTTCTATTGAATTTGTAAGCATGCTTGTTTACAGGCCAGCTGTCGGTACTAGCATTGCCACTGAGTAGCTAGTTTGTTGTTCTCATGTCTATATGACCTTTGTACATATTTTATATGATGGAGGAGAGTGGCAGCTTACTTCCCTCTTGATGATAAGTATGGAAGAACGAAGATCAGGGTTTAAGACAATAGTGGGATGAGCCAGCCTTCATCATGTGACCATTCTAATTCCACTTTTTCTATGAAACATCTAATCCATTACCCGACAAAAGTCTAAGCAGAACCATTGTTTGCTTTGCAGGTTACACATGAACTATATCATGTAAGATAAATGACTGAAGGGAGAAGGAAGATGTTATTGGGATTACTCTGTTTGCTTGAGAACAGGAATTGGTAAAACTTCAATTCTATTTCCTTTCTAATTTAATATTAATGCGGACAACTATATTGAAAATGCAGTAAGTGAATTTAGCCTTTAGTTTTAGTTTGATTCTATAGATTTCTAGAGGATTTAGTTTTCAGACAGCAAGTGGGTTGATTCATGAGTTTTGTTTCCGTTGGTTTCTGGAGGCTTTAAACTTTAGTTTTGGAAATATTGATGATGACAGGTGGAGTATGTGCAGATTAATATCCCCAAAACCTATTATGGTATACATTGTGAAACTGGATTTGTTATAAAAACACATTTCTTTTCTAACTATAAGGGATGTTGATACATACAGGTGTCATTATTTTAGGTAGCTTGATGATAAAGGCTTTTGATTGAGAATTGTGGTAAAAAAAACTCTTGATGTATCTTACCTTGTATGCAGGTCTTCAGCTAAGGTTGGATATTTTGGCCAAGACGTCAGATGATAATTTTTTGATCATTTCGAATACGAACCATGATTGTTTCCACACATTATTGGTGTATAGCTTTATAGCGACTTAGTGAGTTACTTAGCTAAAACATTATTAGTGTATAGTTTTATTGAATTTTCTCATTTGAACGGGATAACATATGTATTTTATAAATTATCTATGGATTCAGATTTATTTTCAGTTACAAGGAAAATTTCCAGTTGCATATCCAATTATAGTAGAAGGTTATTGGTAGTGTGTAAACAAAAGAACAAAAAAAAAAGGAACAAGAACACTGGAGCATATTGAAACCCAGAAATTAGTGACTTTTTAGCAATGACCAAATTCGTCAGCAAAAACGATTATCAATTGCGACGGTACAAACCGTCGCTAAAGCTACACGCGACGGATTGTGTCGTCGCGGAAGCCATCTCTTCAGCGACGATAGCTTCGTCGCAGAATCACTGCGACGACACCATTCGTCGCCGATTCCAGTGCACTTCGTTGCAGAAAGCTCAACCTTCGGCGACGGATGCCATCATTTTGCGACGACGGCAAATAATTCGTCGCAGAAGCCTAACGCGACGCAGTATAGGCGACGGACGGGAACTGGATTTGGCGACGACTCTGCTGTCGCCAAATCTTCTGGCGACGAAATGTCGAGCCTTTAGCGACGACCCTTTCCGTCGCTAAAAATACAGTTTCTTGTAGGGGCCAACTTACCGTACACGTGCGGACTTGAACGGGCCTAGGAATTGTTGAGGCCCACAAAAATAGAATAGGTTTCAGCCACGGCCGCATCTGTTTCGTGCCTCCATAGCGATCATCATAACCGAGTCTTGGATTGTTCCGATGCTGGATCTGGACTCCACCCACGCCGGGAATAAATGAAATAATTAGAGAAAGTGAGCTTCATGATTGTTTACAAAATAATTTTCCCAATCCTTCTTCCGTGTGCTAATCGCCTAATCCCTTCTCTATGAAAAGATATCCAAACAAAATTGATCCGGTCATGCAAAGAAGGGTGGTAAACTGCATGCAAGTAAAATTTAAAGATTGAGTCATCTAATCAAATCGTAATCAACCACCCCCTTTTTCCATCATTCGCAAGCTCTAACAGATAAGTGACAAGGAAATCCACAATATCGCTTCACTGTAACAATACAGTATTATTGAAGATTGGTGGCTTTCTCTTCTTCGTTAAACTAGCGTCGAAGATATACAAAGAGGGGATTAACAAGTGATAAGAGAAGGGAAGATCAAGAAATGAAAAACAGAGATCAAGAGGGGGAGTTGAAATTGAGGTTCGGGGGGAGGATGACATGCAGGAAAAATGTTTGCAGAGCTAAAATTAACGGCAAGAAAACAGGGATGGGGAGAAGTGGCTACCGACGACGATATAATTGAGATCGAGAGAGAGAAGTGAACCATGAGTCGGTGAGCACTGAGCAGCTTTTTTTAGGAGATATAGGGTTTTCTTTAAGCCCTTTTATTTCTCGGTGTTGGTAAGATATATATGAAAGGGCAAAAACAATACTCCTTTTTTATTGTTAAAAAGAAAAAATTTAATAATAAACTAATGCATGGATTCTAATTGGCTTACCGCTAACCATAGAATAAAAGAGTTGAATGAGCTTGACCCATACGGGATTTGGCCATCAAGCAAAACAAATGAACATCATGAGTTTGTCATCCTAAAACATGCTATTTTCTCTAGCATAACATATATTATGCTATTATTTTATATCTTAGTGGCTAAAATATAATGTATTTTAAAGTTATTAAATGGTTCAACCTCGACCAACCAGATTAGTCCATTTTTTATAATTTCAAATTTATATTATGTAATTATTTTATATCCTAATGATTAAATTACAGTGTATTTTATAGGAGATTTTTTATTCGGTTTTCTGGAATTCAGTTTCTATCAAACTTATAAAACTCCACCTCATCATATTAACAGAAATAATACTGTTTCACAAGGTAATAGGTACTCGAACTTTGTTCATAAGGCTGATTTTTGATTCGTTGAATCATCCATGTCTCTTTCTTGCTAAAATTCATTATATTTATCACGTGTTTCCAAAAAAAAAAAAAACTATACAACAATAAGCTATACACCCCATTACATTCTAAAATTTCATAACTCACCTTCCCTGGCCAACTGTCCGGATCCCACACTAGTTATATTGTAATGGTGAATGGTACACGATGGCCGTTAGGACTACCTGCTTGCATTTAGATGCACGTGTCGTAATGCAAAGGATTTCTATGCAAATACACTTGCACTTTACCATACCTTTCACATACAAATGTTCAGAATTGTATATTGCCATCAGGTGTACACACAAACATAATCATTTTGCTCCCCGCAATATATGTCGCTAATACTCTTCATGCCCTCTTCATTACTACGCCTTTATTTCCTGCTGTGTAGCCGCGGGTACTCATTCTAGTTATTGCGAAAAGGAAAGCGGCTAACCAGTTCGCCATTCTTGTTTCTGATTTTGCTTGCTTGTGGTGATTTGAGTAACTTCCGAGCCGCCACTGGCAGTATATATAGTAATATAGATGAGGTAGAAACGGATTCCTAGACCAGGAAACTTCTGTTCCAGTCTTTCGTCATAATTCCAACTGGAGATTTTGCAGAAAGAGTGGTTAGAGGGATGACAGAGATCGATCTGTGGAAAGGGTCCAAAAGTTGCCCAAGTTATACCTAATCCCTCTCCCTTCCTTCCCATGTGGTCTGTTTTGTGGGTTGGTAGTCGGTAGTCCTTCCGCATTACGGATTCCAACCCTCACATTTCACAGAGTGAGTTCATTGATAATGAGTAACAACAGTCAGGACCAGTTCACTTTCCGGCCTGGCCAGGGAAAATTTGAACTCTTCAATACTTCGATTTACTTACCCAACCGGGGAAGTTATTACTTGTCCATTATTGGAGTGATGTATGGAAATGGAATGAACATCATAACCTTCCTTCTCCTTTGCGAAGTGTGTGTCGCTGGAGATGGACTGAGCAAAGACTTGACAGTGTCTCAAGGGATTGCAGAGGGATGATAGCGCAGGAACTGGCCTAATGTTAGCTAAGCAATCAATGTCTGAAGGTACTTCAGTAATTGAGGGCTGTGGCGGTGGATAATCCGAAAAGGTGCGGTGATGGGCACATGAGATGAGGTAGCATTAAGTTATGTGGTCACAAACTCACAATCATGCAGAAAAGACTAGTCTTCTTTACTTCTTGGTCCATAGAAAACAATCTACAACAATGGAGATCTGCTGCTGTCACCAAGAGATAGGATACGGAACAAAGAGTTGGGAGCACATGATTCTGAACAAACTAGGAGACCTACAGCTCGGTCTAACCAGTAGCTCGAGTCCGACGAATCTATGGTCGAGTATCAACAATTTACACCTTTTCAATAATGACTAGAGCAAAAAGGGGAAAGAATCGAATCGGCCTAGCTTTGTTTTTAGTAACCACAAAAACTTCCCCGCATGGAAGCATTAAAGCTCTTTTTCGCGTTGTCATTGTTCCTAAAGAAAGAAGTCCACAATCTCATTCCTGCTTATCACGAGCAAGTCTGGCTCGGTGTTTCAGCTCCGCCCTTTTCCACTTCACCACCATGTAGCAGAGGTTGAAAAGTGTGTTTATCTGCAAGAAGAGATCATCAAACACTGGCAATGGACTAACAAAAGGAAAGAAGGTGAATGAAAGGTGAGAAAGAAATGGCTAACCAGGATTAGACAGGCAATGACCAGAAGAGGCCCTGACCAGACTGCTGAAAGAAATATACCGTGCGGATCAAAGTAGTTCTGGGTTGCAAAGCTTCTCCAGTTGTTTCCAAGTATTCTGTTCAAGATCTCGGCTAAACGTACCCCAGCCACTACAATACATTCACACCATCCCACTTCAGTCTCGCATCTATCAATTATCATCTATCAGAAGAACTTAATGAAACAACTAACAAGCATCACAGACCAAATCTCATATCTTAGATTACATATATGAAATTGAAGCACAGGAGTTACTCTATGACCATATTAGCCACAGCAATTTTACAGCATTTACTTGCTTAGCAAATCAGGGGAGGAAAAAGTGTTGGAACTTTAGTGATCCCTAATCCTAGTTGCATCTCAGTGATCTTCTCACAACATCGTCTTTCCGAGCGGCATAAGTGAAACTTTGCAGTGAATCAAAACCTAGTTTCCCTATATCAACCACTGTTTTGTATATTTTGTTCCCTAGCAGTCATTTCAGAAAGGGGCCACACGAACAAGTCCCAAGTAGAGAAATGAAACAAAAGCTGCGTCTTTTACATGCCAGGAAACCAACTTACCAACATGATACAAACACCTAAATCCCCAGAAATTCAATTCAAACCATAATCTACTCCCGAAGAGATGGAAAATGAAGGAGGAAAAGAGAACTCACAGGTGAGAAAGAACAACCCCATCTGGAAATTAGTGTTCTTCCTCGAGAATATAGCTACAATAAGTAGAAATACATGGAATCCCATCATGCCCATCAACCAAGGCTCCTGCAACAACAATTGAAACAAAGAAATTCACACAACGACGAAAACCATAAAGCTTCGGAAAAAGAGCATAGCTTCAGAGATAGGGATGAAGAGAGTACCGTCCAGTCAATGGCGTGAAAGAAACCCATGAAATTCTCGTAAGCCGGCTGGAGTCCGGATCGTAGCTCGGAAGAGAGCTTCTGAACCAGATCCGCCATTTGGTCCAAGTGCTGGTCCATGGCCGATTTCAGAGCTTCCATTTTTTGCTTGCCGCCAGTAATTCCCCGCTGAACTGAATTGAAGAAGGAACTCGAGATCGTTACCCACACCTAACTAACTCTCGGAGGATCGGCTTGAGATCCAGCAATGCAGAGACTTGGCAGAGAGGAATTCGCGATTTGCTTCTTCACTTTCTCGTTTGAATCGACGGCGGAAGCGATGTCGAAGTTCGACAGAATTCGAGCAGTTCTTTACTTCTTTTCCTGGAATAGGCCGAGCTTCGATTGTAGGCTCTTGTCTTATTAGGCCGGAACTGAGGCCCAAATCTTCCCTTGGGCCTGGCTACGAATGATCCAAACCCAGGCCCACTTCTGAAGTTGGTTCCATTAAAGTGACCCAAAGATCTATTCAATGGGCTTATGGGCTAGAGGTGAACAAGGAACATGGGCAAACAAAGACAAACCTAGCCAAGAGGATCATGATCTTAACCTTTTTGGTACAACCTAAGAATTAATTACTATCTAATGGTGAGTGAAAGCCTATGATCTTAATCTTTTGGGTGCAGCCTATGACCTTTTTTCAGTATCAAAAATCATTAATTCATCCACTTCCCCACATAGTGATTGATCTGTAACACTAAATAACAGGCACTATTATTACCAGTATAGTTGCACTGCCCACATGCAAGGGGAAAATAATAATAATAATAAAAAATAATAAATAATAATAAATAATAATAATAATAATAATAATAATAATAATAATAATAATAATAATAATAATAATAATAATAATAATAATAATAGAGATGTATAGACAAATGGTATAGATATCAGCTAGCAATGGTCACAATCCAACTGTTCCATTACCTAGCTAGGTTTTGGGATCCAATTTGCATAGTCTCAAATATTAATATTACTAGGGTGTCAGGGGAAGAAAACACAACCATTACTTATTTCTAAGGTTGTAACCAAGTGGGTAGAATAATGGTGTAGTTCATTCCTTTTACATCCTTAGAAATGAATGCGTATAGATTTTTTCGCGTCGTCAACAAAAAAAATTATAACGGATCGGAATAGAAAAAGCAACTAAAATTTGAGGAAATTCGAGAAAATAACAAGAAAACTAGAGTGATTTGATAAAAGAATGAGAAGGGCATAACTTCGAATAGAGAACATATAACTGTACATGAAGGACATATAATCTCCTTACATGATTCGGTCGACTTTTCTGATCGAGTTACAATATGCTTTTTTTTTAGTTAATTGAAGGCAACCAAACCAAACAAAAAGGCAAGCAAATTGCACCACTCGATCGATCCCCATTCCTTTCTTCCTTTCTCCCCCCCTCCATGTTTTCACAGAATATTCACTGCCAAAGTGCTGTATAATATATGAGCTAGCTAGCATATATATAGTACCACAGCTAGCAGACCAAACAAATCGTTTCTCTTTTGTAGAAAGGCAAGAATCCTTACTCACGTTCATTGTTCCCCCAACCTCTCTCTTTTGCTATTGATCACTCAATCTTTCTAATTAATCTGTTTACTCACTTCCATATATTTGATTATTTTCATAACCCACTTTCAGAATAAGTCTTTTTTTCACTAATTAAGGTTAACTCAGAGGAAAGCGCATATTTATCAGTTAAGTAGTCATACTTACATGAAGCAAGTCATGCATATACAAAATTTAAATGGTTCCTAAATAGAACCATTTACATGCTATGTTAGCGCGTCATATGATGTGACAAAATCACATCGAAAAGGGTTGATATTTAAGCAGTGCAACTTGGATGAATTGGTTTGGAACTGGATGGATGTGTCTTGAACTAAATTAAGATAGTTTATCATGGCCAAGTCAAAAGAAGATAAGTCACATGGATGCGGGAAAATAATACCCATTTATAAATTCTAAGCTTCCTTTTCTATCTTATACTTTAAGCAAACTTCTAATTGTCAAATTCAATTTCGCCATATAAGTAGCTTTTTGGATACATTTATCATCATAATCATCAACCTTGAAGACCTTGAATAATATGTATGGTCTTCCTTGCGGCGGGTCTTATACTCTTGGATCTCATGATCGATAACCCTTTTTCTCCAAAGCGTGCTAGCTTAATGTCAAATCTTTTCTAGAAGGGATACAAGAGTCTAATCTACAATATGCATATGTATTTGAAAAACACAAACCCTAATCTGAAAACCATCAAAACAATCAGTCAATCACAAAATCTTCTCAGATATACGAGCGAATATGATGAAGGAGCATCTGATCAAATTCCTCTACGAAAAGCGCTCTTTTGTCATCTACAAATTCACCGAACCAAACGATATTTTTACATGAGATAAAGCCTAATTCGAGTAGTGGTTCACAACCGAACTTTTGGGGGAGGGATTAGCTCAGCAATTAAACCACACCCAAGGTACAACAAACACATCAAATGGGGCTATGATCAGCAATGAATGGCTGCAAAAAAAGCAACCCGAATCATGGCATGTTTAAAGAAGAAACTGATGAAACTATGGGGGTACGTATGTGAATAAATGAGTTTCCCCTCTAGGCTTGTGGGAGAGACGACATTGCAATATGGGCGAGGATAAGGACCTAACCCTAACAATTAACAAACGTCACGATGCATGATGATAGTATAAAGCTATAAAGCCATCCAAATTTAATGCCCCCTTTTTTTCATATATTGATGAGCACTTATACCATAACCCTACGCCAAAGATCTCCTCCCCCCCCCCCCCCCCCCCCCCCCCCTCTCTCTCTCTCTCTGCTAACCCATATGCCTGGCTGCATATATATTGATAAACCCTACTAACCTCTTTCAATGAATCGAGAATGCGTATTAAACCGAAATCAAATGAGTAATAATTATTGCTTTGAAGTGTACGTACACCGAGTTGTACATAACGAAAGTCGAAATAGCAAAAACAATGAGCTATATAGTTAGTCGTGACAAGTTTAAGATCTTCACGAAGAGAGTTATATGATATACCGCAATACTGGATAGTTTCATAATCAAAAGAATCATTCATTACCAGACGGTGTAGAATGATCATCATATACTATAAACTTCCAAAGTTTGAGTTGGAGAAAAAACCGCACATGTGTCAAGCAGCTCTCATTGTCCTGGGAACCTTAGTGATCATCCACTGATATATGACAACTTTTTTAAGTACCCGTTTCTGTAATAGCTAGGCTAAAGTGAACATTAAGAAGGAAACTCTTAATTAATGTTTTTCGAACATGATTAATTAATTACTCACATGAATGGAAAAAGGGTTGGTTGGTAAAGTGGGAAAAGACTAGTTGAAAAAAACAACGGTCCACGCACCAGTACCCAATATCAACAGTGTGACCAATGTCAACATAAATGGCTCTCTCTCAGCCTCAGGCTCTGGTTCAAATCCTAACAAAGTAGTAATTAAGTGAAACTCGTACACCATTTCAAGAGCCTTTAAAAGCTCCATCATTGATATTTTGATAGTAAAACAAAAAAAGTTTCTAACTTAGCACAGCCTGATCAAGTTGGCAAGTTCACAAACCCATCTTTGCAAAATTCAAACCAAGGGGAATTGACAACATCATGAAGTTTAGTTTTCATGATGATAGCGAAACAACAGCTGACTCAACCAAGAATGGGGGTAAAACCCTAACCCTAGCTAGGGAATTAGTTGCTTACCCTGATAACGTGTAGTAATTAATAATAAACATGACCAATGCACCTTTCTTCTGTACTTTCCTTCTTCAGAATTCAACACAGGCAGGAATAATCAATAAGGATAGAAAGTTAATTAAAGAACAAGAAGAAAGGTAGATGGATAGGAGAAGGAGAGATCGATCGAGCAACGAAGAGTGAATCGGATTACAATTAGCATAGCTAAAGAAGGCTAGCAGAAGGTAAATGATACATAACATCAGTACTTAAATCCCAAGTAACCTGATCATGATTATATAGTAAATATCCATATGGAGTCCTGGATACAAAAAAAAAAGGAAGAGAAAAAGAAAGAAGACGAGAACCCAGAAAGAAAAGAAAGAAGGAATTAACTCTTAAGGTATAATAAATATGTAGAAATATAGCTAGTTTCCCCCCTTGATCCGCCATTAATCATCATCACCATCAGATCGGTAATTAAAAAAAAGGCTAATTATAATCATAAGTATTATAATTAACCATAAAGTCATCACCGCTTAATCATCCAATGATGAGGGGTCCCCGTATCTACACGTACGTACGACCATGATTCAAATATGGTCAAAACGAAAACCAAGTCAAACGAGAGAGAGAGAGAGAGAGAGAAGAATGACATTAACCTCCTCGTCCAATCCAATCCATCACCAAGTTAGCTGTTTCAGAGGGAAGGTGGATATTACATCGCTACCCTCTCAGAATCTCTGCTCCTCCTCCTCCTTCGGCTCTACAACCTTCCCTATCATCTGACACGTCACCATATCCTGCAGCAGCCCATTGTCTCTCAGGAAAGACGCCGCCGCCGAAGTAGCACTCGTCGTGGTGGTGGTAACGTTGAGAGACGGCGCGGAGTTGTACATGTACGCATTCTGAAGCTGTTGTTGGTGGTGGTGGTGGTGTTGGTTGTAGTGATGATACGACGGTAGAATATTCGAAGGATCGGCGAACAAATGCCCGATCCCTCCGCCGCTGAGGAGGCTTCCCCCCGATCTGGGAGTGATCGGGGAAGGGTGAGTGTGCTGGCCCTCGTAGGTCGTCACGACGATGGAAGTGTCGTCGGACGACCTCTCCACCCGCTTCTTCACCCCGCACCCCGCGCTCGTGCAGCGGTAGTAGCTCCTGATCAAGAATCAGCCAAAAAGAAGGGATGACATGATGATGAGTGAGTAGAAAAGAGTATTTTATTTATTGCAGAATTTGTATATGGAGGTCGGGAAAGTGCGTGCGGTGCGTATGTGATATGATGCTTGCGCAACAAGTAATGGCGCAAAAGACCATCATCATCATTACCACAACAGAGAAATATAATCATACTACTTTTTACATGTAATCAGTTAAGTAGATGGAGTTATGAGGAAGAGTGGGGATTTGATTGAAGTAGTAACATAGATGTAATTTACCTAGGGTAAGGGCTGTTCTTGACGGCTTTCTGGCCGTATTTCCTCCACCGGTAACCGTCGTCCAAGTGATCCACTTCGCTCTTGGTCATGAAGGCGAATCTCGGCTCCCTTTGCCTTTTCTGTCCCTTCGTCTTCTTCGCCTTCAACCTAGTTAGTTAGAATAGAAGATTAATAATTCTTCCGTTACGGGGAGAAATCTTCAACTTCAAACAGAATGAACTTGGTTTGGTTCCCTATTTTAGTAATGGAAAAAAAAAAAGGAGATAGTTTTTAAGAAGGGTTTGACGAGTAAATTGTATGACTTACTGTTTCTTTGAGCTGTTGTTGGTGTTTTTCTCTTGATCCTGCTCCTCTTCTTCTTCACCACCGTCTTCGTCGTCTTCTTTGAGGCGATTTTTCCCGTCTTTACTGCTCTTCTTACTGTTCCCGCCTTCGTTCGACGAGGAGGAAATCGAGGAGTTCGGTGTCGTGGGGTTGTTCACGACCTCCGACGACTCACCCGCAGCCGGCGAAGACATAGGCAGATCCAGCTGCACCGTCGCGGCCGGGAACGGAGTCTGAAACAGATCGAACAAAAAGGAAGGAGCAGAGTATCCTCCGAAATCCGCGCCGTATCCACCGCTGGCGTCTAGCAGCTCCATGAATCCACCACCGAACCCGCTCTGCAGCGGCGGCGGCGGCGGCAACATCATTTGCTGCATATCGTAGTAGATCCCTCCTCCGCCAGCTGTCCCCGAAAACGAGAATCCGCTCCCGTGCATCAAAATCTCCTCCAGCTCCCCTCCGCCGCCGCCGCCGCTTCCTCCCGCCATATTAAATGCTGAATTCGCCTGCCTCTCGCCGCCGCTCCTCGCCATATAGATCGCCGGCCAGAAACGAAACTCTAGCTAGCTAGATTCTTTTTTGCTGTTCTTTCAAATTGCTGATCTCGCCGGCAGGATCGAGGAGAGGATATTAGTACAAAAATCGAATCGCCGGTGAGATGGATGGATGGATTGATAGAGAAGAGAAAAGAAGAGGGAGAGAGAGCAGAGAGTGTGAAAAGGGGAGGAGATAGAGTTTGGACAACAGCTTGGAATGCGGAGGTTTCCCATTTTGTTTTATGGACGGAGAAGGTGGGCCAAATTACTCTAATGGTCCGTGAAATTCCGGCTTATTCATACACGGGTTGTTTTACGGTTGGTGTTTAGCAAAATCGTCATCAAAGTTAGGGTAACTAGCATAATAGTCACTTAAATAATTTTCATCTTAATTTTTTTTTCTTAACTTTTAATTGGCCGAATCGGCATGCCAAGTTGCCAGCCCAAACAAACTTAACGATGTAATTAAGTAATCACGTACACGCCGCCACTAATGGTTAGCACGTGTATACTGTCATATGATCCAAATCAAAGTCTTATCATTATTACATCACTCGATTTGAACTCACATTATTGGAACCCGTCCTAATTATTTTCTTCCTCCTTATGCCCCTCGTATTGCAACAGCTAATTCCCGAGTCCATATTGATACGTTTTCATCAATAATCTGGGCTATTTGACGTACTGATGTAGACGATGAATGAAACCTAACGAATACGAAATAAGCAATACGACGGTAATTATTTCACTATATTGAAAGTTAAGGTTAGTGATCAATTTAGCACTGGCCTCGAAGTTGAGTGGCCTTCTAGGTAAATAAACCAGAGAGATAGAATGTACAAATAATCGAAGGTAACGGACTGGCATTTGCCGGTCACCAACCCGTACGGAACAGGGCAGTGGATTAGGGCCGGTGTTGAGCATTAATTGCTTTGGGGCCCATAATAGGTCGGGCCCAGTCCTGAGTCTAATCTCTCCTCTCCTCCGTCTTCCGCACCTTACGCGGACGTCTCCACAGGTTTAACCGGTTGCGTGTAAACTTCGACCTTTGTTGGGGCGTACACGTGGACTACTCTTCCCATTTCCATAGTCGGACCGTTATTTCTTTTGGGATAGGTCCACATTTTTTTTTGACGAGGAGTAGAGTTTCATTAATGAAAATAAAACCATACACAGTGTACAGAGATGAGTTGCAACACTCAAAAGGAAGGAAAATCCAAGATTAAGGCAAACAACAGGCGCAAAAAGAGAGAGCCCAGCAGAAAAAGCCCAAGCAACAATCTGGAAGGGAACCCAAAGCCTACACCCGAAGAAAACCTAGCCCAAAGAAACATCAATCAGCCAGAAGGCCGCCGCAAACATCCCCACCCAGCAACCCTTCTTGAGCACCCTTCATGCCGTCAGAGACTTCATTCGCCGGAAGGAGAGAAAAACTGGCACAACCACCAGATCATCAGCACCTGCAAGGCCGGATGAAGAACAGCAAACGAAGTGGGAGAGCCTCTCCGACAAAGGACCGCAACAGAGAACGTGTGCAAGGGAGAATCGACGCCAGAATCACTCCCAGATCCACCAACAACACCACCGTCGAAACCCAAAAGACCAGAAAAGAAGGCACGAGGAAGAACAACCACGAAGCCCAAACCCCCACAGGTGGAAACAAGAGCGACCCCAAACGCGAGCAGAAAGGTGAAAAAAGGCCATCGCATAAAGCCCCCACCAAACCGAGCAAGCGACGAAAGACACTTCGGCAAGAAAGAGATCCCTGCTCTCCACCCCATGAATCAGTATCCTTGGCTATTCAAGCCGTGACATCTCCGAATCACCCCCATTTATGGGTGAAACGTGTGGAGGTAGATAACAGAAACATGAAAGAAGAGAACAAACCGCCGACGGCGGCTCCCTCTGACACCCACAAGCAAGAACCGGACAGCCCGAGAGACCGACTTCAAGATCTGAAAACAAATCTGAAGTGTGGAAGAAGAAACAATCTCCAAGGAGAAGTTCTTGGCAAAATCCACAAAGGGAAAGTAGCAATAGAGAACTGGAAACCCATAGCAGGTTGGCAAAGACAAGAAAGCGAGAAAAAATGGGGGTTGGGTCGCCGCCGGTCACCAAAAGTGTGAAAACCGGCGACACCCCCAGAGGCGCATGTGGAAGAAAAGGCTAGAGAGAGGACAGAGCTTTTGAAAAGAGGAAAGGTAGAGAGAGACTCAGTATTTTGAGTGTTCTGGGATAGGTCCACATTGCTTAATTAATTTGTGTTAGAAATCCCCAATTATTTAGTTGGATTGCATAGTAGAAAATGATTTTATAGATTGTAAATGTATTGTGTACGTGTAAGACTTGTATCATACAGTAACGGGGCATCTCAATTAGTGGCATGTTAAGCTTAAGGCCTTCTATCCGAAACTAAAATGTTTACCGGACTGAGTTCATATCTATGAAATTATACATACTACTTATAGTATCGAACCATCAATTTTTGTATGATTTAAGTTGACATACATCGTCACATTTTATTTAGTAATAGTATTTTTGTTAAAGGTCAATTATAGTAGTAGCCGTATTTTATTAAGTACAAAACATTTGACCAATGTATATGGCTGTTTTGGTTGGATCAACAAAAACACCAACAAAATATATTATTAAAACACCTTCTACTCTTGGAAATACATTTTACGCGTAATTTTTGAAAAATTTTGGGGGTCCGGCCCCAGGGCAGCTGTAGCTCCACCCCTGTTAACCTGCCAACTTCAAGTCATAACTTAACTTTCACATAACAATATGTTATTGTATAATTAGGATTAGTGTAGTCAAAATCGCGCATTAAAACGTAAAAACTTACGTTTTTACGTATCCAGACCACCAAAAGGTTTCAGTTTCTACATAAAGTCGCTTAGTCACAAAAACTAGTAAAAACATGGATAAAATCGGTAAAATCGCTTAAAATCGGTAAAATCAGGATTCTGAAGCGTTTTTATACGATTTTGATCATCTCATAAAAATGTGTTAATTGCCCCAAAATGATGTAATTTTGGAGACATATCAGCAAAAAATAAAAAAAAGGAAAACATGATTCATCACTCGTTCTACAACTAGTGTCGAGATAGGGGCTTCACATTAGGTTGAAAAGACACCTAATGGTATTCTCAATAACCGCTGACCTTCTATCAGTCTTCTCCCTTAATCTTCACCTATGGCTCTTACCTGGGTTACGATAAAAGTTTATGTGTAATTGATCGTATGTAATTATGTAAACTCAAACAGCTTATGAGAATTTGGATTCTCAAGCTCGTTTACGAGTTACGATGTACGTTTATGAGCTTATTATTAAGATGTTATGAGTTTTCTCTACTTTTGAGTCGACACAAATTAGTTTATGTGTTAGATAATACATTTTAATTATGAATTTCATGTAGTTATTCACTTATCTAAAATCTACACACTCACATTTTACATATTATATGTTGTACTTAACATATTCTGGCTATTTTAGAGGGTGCGTCAAAAACTTACGCTTTTACGCTTTGATTCTACGTTTTACGATTTTACCCATTTCCCGCTTCCAGGTAAAATCGCGCTTTTAACTGCATTTATTTAGGATCCATATAACCCATGTTTAGCAACTCAAAATTTTATTTTGGCCTAAGTTCTGACACTTATGATAATCAATCTATCCACTTAATCATTTCTGATTACATTAAACTCATATACAACAACAAGCATGCAGCCCCTTACTTTCCACTTTTCTCAGTTTCTGTTAGGGCTGGGAAACGGTGCGGTCTGGTCCAGACCAGACCATATATACGGTCTATGGTCCAGACCGAGAGGTTAAAGTATAGACCACAGACTATAAGGTCGGTCCAGACCACGCCTGTGCGATCTGGTTCGGTCTGGTCTGGTCCAGATAGACCACACTCAACGAAAAATGAATAATTTGTTTAGTCAACCACACAAAAATTGAACCAATAACCAAGAAAAATAATTGTTATTTGTCTTAAAACATTAATCCTAACATGCATGAATCATTTTGATACTCTAAATCTTAGTACATAACAAAGATACAAAGTAACACTACAAGAAAATGCATATACAACTACGCAATTGTTTGTGGCCAAAGGTCCAATTTGGTGTAGCTAAAATATATAGCCATAAATAAATAATTTTGTAGCTCGTGTGGCTAAAAGTGGCGCAGCTAAAGGTTAGCTACACAATTTTGCACTTGTGTAGCTAATAATAGAGGTTTTTAGCCATACTAATTGTATATTAAAGCAAAAATACTAAAAGCATTTTGCCATAAAAGTAAAAGTGGTGTGGCAAAACCATTGAAGTGTTTAGCTACGCAGAACATAATACATAGCTGAATATAGTCATTGGCTACACATTATCTCATTCGAAACTAAAAAAAATGTTTTTTGCCATGAAATAATCTATGAAGTTGCCATATATCATTCCGTGACTGTAGGACTAGAGCTCTTGCCACGAAAAAAAGTGTGGCTAGTAACTATGAGTGAAATTGCAATGTCAACCAAATTTGTTGATAGAATCTTTATAATTACACATCGGACAATATTTTTTTTCAAAAATGACATTATAAACCAAATGTTTAGGCACTAAAATATATCATTGTATACATTATTCAATTTAGATATACTTGATGCTCATAAAAGAATTACACTCGTTGCACCAATATGGAGTATATGTGATATTCATTAAACATAATAATTTGATTCAATAGTACAATAAGATACAAATGATTTTACATCAATTGACATACTATTTATAAGAGATACATAGAAATATGATCTCCAATTAGCATTACAAGTGAGTATATTTTGCCTGTACTTTTCATCGTTTTTTCCCTTTAAATTCTTCGCACTCGGCTTCGTTCCAGTGTGATACCAGCTGCCAGTCCAATTCCATCTTCACCTTAAAAAGAAACAAAAACAAATGCAAAGTTTATGTACAGCCTGCAATAGTCAAAGTGCTCTAAT